CATCGAATCTTGTCTTGTTCCTTGAATATTCTTCTTCTTCTTCTTCTTCTTCATAACTTGGTACTTGTTAGACACGTAACTTTCCAGTATCCGATTCAAAATCCCGCACGCTTTCGCGAACTTCTTCTCTTTCCCAATCTCGAGCCACCGCTGGATCTTCGAAATCCTCTCGGGAAGAATATTTCTGCAAAAGACGGCCTCGGAAATATCGTCCATGGCATCAAGAAGCGGGGATTCGGGGATCCCATCGCGAAGGGAGGCCAAGTCGAATCACGATTAAGAGTCCGAAAATTCCTTAACTCACAATGCTAGTATATCTGTAATATTTTTGCCTTCAAATAGTAATTTTATAAATAAATCTAATTGAGCTGTAAAAATGTTATATAAATGGTTTTGAATTGTAGAGGGTGTAAATTTCTCTTATGTTTACGAGGATGGGATGTCTGCTTTTGATTGGACAGTCGCTTTCTCATTTCCTTTTCAAATCAAATCACCAAATTGACACTCGTTGGCCTTTAGCTGATAAATAGTGGTTATGGGTTATCAGAACGGCACTAGACGTGCCAACAACATTTGTTGAGTTCTGTGTTAAGGCTCAACATAATCTTGATAAAGCTATACATTCCAGAGATGTATCCAAAAGAAAACACTGATAAGACCAGCTCCAATGTTGCGTCACATTCTTCATTACACCAGAGTAGTGTGGCCATTTCTTCTCCAATGTTGCGCTGGATGTTAGCGCCAGTGCAAAGATGTGAAAAGTGCATCGCCACATGTGGCGATGCACTGTAGATCAACTCTACATTTTTTTTTATATATATATATTATTGATAATTTTTTGTATAATATGTATTTGTAAATGTGGGCATTGTGTTAAATAAGTTGGTGATTTAATATATAGATGTATTTTAATTTTATTTTGTAAATTTTACTAGTACCATATAAATAAAAATTTACCACAATAAAATAAATATATATAATATGCGTAGTTTTTTGGGATAATGTGTATTAATAATTTTGAATATATTTTATTAAATAAAATAATTTTGACATCTATATACATATAATATTATTGGTAACAGAGTAATCTTGACATCTATATATAACTAAATATGTGTAAGAGAATGTATTTCATTAAATTATATTTTTGGTATTAAAATTAATTTAAAATAATAAGAATAAAATGTAAATAGTCATGTAGAGTAAAATATAGCGCGAACGATTGAAGATGAACTTTGTCTATTGGTTAACTTTACTCTAGAGTGAGTAAATTCTATTAGTCGTTTTGATTGGGTTAATTATTTTGGTGTGAAGTACGCTAACAATATTGTTAGTAATTATCTTTCAAAATCATAATAATCCATTACAACTCATACTTACAAGTTACATGTAAAGTGGAATAAATATTTTGTAATATACAAGTAATCTAAGAGCGTATTACTTGATGCAAACATTTAGCGAGTTTCGGGCTAAACGGTGTGAGTCTAAAAAGCCCTAATTTAAACAGACTACTAATAAAAAGCCCTAACCCTATTTTTTCTGGGCTAAATGGCTGGCCCATCGGGGGACAAGTACCATTTAACATCTTTATGTACCATTCCTCCAATTAAATTGGAAATCACCAAAGCTTTTTCCATCTTCTATATATATATAATAAGAATTACCATTTACCAAAAATAGTATCAAAAAAATAGGTCAGAATTTAATGCATCCTATACATAGTAAATTTTATTATTTTTCTTATTTTTTTCTTTAAAAATCATACAGTATTAAATGCTACCTTAAATTTCAGACTTTAATTCATTTTATTATTTAAAAAATTCGGCTAAGATTTATTAAGTGTGTATGTTTTTATTTTTATTTTTTTCTTATAAAAAACGAACAACATTAAAATCTCGGTCTCTATATTTATAAAATCCCAATTCAAAATATAACAAAAGGTTTAGAATCTCGGTCTGTATATTTGTGTCTTTAAAAAAAATATTGAACGCTAAAAATATTCTTTAAATTGCATAATTAATCAATTAATCTTAATTTTTTGAAAATTATTATGTTTATTTTTTATTAATATGCATAAAGTAAAAATAATTAATTCATCTTTAGATATATAATTTATAATCTTAATATACTATCATTTGGTGTAGATACTAATTATATGAATCATAAAATATTTTTATTTCATAAAATTAAAAATATTTAAAGAAAATAAGAAAATTTATTCGGATCAATCGGGCGATTGAATTAGCGTACTGCCCAGGTTGATTGAATTACTTTTAGGTGATATTTAAAATAGTCCAAAAACTTGACACAACTTGGTTGGTCTCAGGTGAATAAGTTACGTATCAGTTCGACCACACCAAATCGATTATTGAACCTAAATATAAAATTTATATTGAAAATATTTTACGTGAATGTGATGTAGTCCAAACTTCAAATAATCTTTTTAACAATACTTTTATGACAACATGTTTAATGATTTATGAATATTTATATATCATTTTATTAATATTTATGTGAATTAAATAATATTTTATTATAATATTTATTAATGTACAGTAAATATAAGGTTTTCAGAACTGGACCGTCATCGAAACGATCAAGCTATTTTATTAAATCATTTGTGGTTTGTTCAGATTTTAATTTATAAACATTTTAATATATATAGTACTTTTTGTAATAAATTTAAATAAAATTGTTACTTAGATATCTAAACAATTTATAAATTCAAATGGTTAAACTAATTGATAAATAATTTATAAATCTCTATTTTATTTGAATATGTAATTTTATTTAAAATAATTTTAAATATAACAAAATTTATTTAGAAAATCGTATTGATCCTACCAGTCTAACCGACTGGTGTTGACGGATTCGAGAGCAAATATTTCATTCAAGCGAACTAAACTGGTTATAAACCGGTTCTCAGTCCATCCGGTCGGACTGCATTCAACCCGGTTTAACTTAAAAACAATGGATAAATCATGATTAAGGTTATTTATATATCTAACTTATAATACATTCATAATATTGTTTTCACGTGCATCGCACGGGCCACACACTAGTTTTATCTAAAGAGGTATAATCAAACCGACAAAAGCCCGGGAACAATTCAAAAAAGAGGAAATTACACCCCTTACTATCAAATATGATTTATATTCTACTTATACACTCATTGTATTCTTATTTATAAAAGTACTAAACCAAGCCAAAAATATTACAATTTAACCTAAGATGTGGACCAATATATGTAACCGTGTGTTAAGGAATCTTTTGCAAATTAAATGCAATTGAGATAATTAATTGAGATTAAATATATACTTACCAAAACAATTGGGCCAATATATCTTCTCTCTCTGCAAAACCATCCCACCGCCCCATACGTTCACCACTCTCTCTGCAAAAAACCTCTCCTTCAATGGCCAAGACAAAACTTCCCCGATCTACTCGAAAAAACTTATTCGTCGATCATCTGTAACAAGGCCACTATTAGAAAAACCTGTCGGAAAATTTCGGCTTTCTTTCGGCTCATGAGTGGCGGGGTATTCAGACGAGGAGCGTGATTTTGGCGGGCCGCAGGGTTGCTCGACAGTAAACTGTGGAGCACGGATCTGGGACGCCGGACGCCGGACGACGGGCGAGTGAAGGCGGTGAGGTCTTTGTGATGGTGGCGTGCTGAAAAAACTTCTCTCTCTCTGCAAAAAAATTTCTCCTTCAGTGGTTCGCTTGACTCGGAGATGAGGGGCTGAAAAAACCTCTTTATGTTTAGTATATTAGCAATTTTTTTTGTTAACGAATTGATTTTATTCACTATATTGTTAATTTTTTTGGCAGGAATGGGAATTACTTATTTGTATCATTTTGTTTGTTGCTTGCCAGTGATATGCATCATGATTTATGTTCAATTGATTTCTAGCTAATGAGTCGAGACTTTTTATTTTTTTTCTTGTTTGTATTCTTCAATGAAAACTACATAGTTTATTTTCAATATATTACTAGTCATGTTTTATTGTTTCAATGTTTTTTTTTTTTTTTTTTTT